TCCTCTCCTCTCCTCTCCTCTCCTCTCCTCTCCTCTCCTCATTAATCAGTCAACAAGTTGTGGCTAAGATGCCCTTTTCCCTTAGAAGTTCTTTAAACTTAAAGCACTTAGAGGGGTTAGTTCCCAGAAATCCCGCCTCGCTTTCCAGAGCCCACGGAGGGCACAGCGGCATCTGCGCAAGGCCGGGAGCGTGGGCACCCGTGTGCCCCCGTGGGCAGGAATCCCTGCGGGATTCCTCGGGAAGCTCGCGGGAAAGCTGCGAAGCCTCCGCGTGGCCTTTGTTTGTGTTGGGATCGTGAGGATGAGGGAGCGCTGCTGGATATGACTTTAAAACACTCCTCAAATTTCTCTCCAGAACTATCATTTCTGGAGAGTTAAAAATAGCGGGCAATTTAGTGAAGGCAGATATCCAGCCCCAAAACGAGGTTGTGTCTCTTGGCTGCCCGAAAAGTGCATGCTCCGTTACTCACAATAGTAATGACCCAGCCTGAAAAGCTTGGAGTTGTTGGATATTTTGGGACTAATGTTTGCTCAAAACGAGTTCACCTGAGCCCTGCTTGAGTAAAAAGGCTGTTTTTTTTACCTGCACGACTCTCTTTTTAAAACTGTAAGTGGTTTTCTTTGGAAGCATATTAATTTAGAWCAAGTTTCTGCCCATCACAAAGCCCCTGGTTGTTGAAAGCGGCGAGATAGATTTACCAATCTGCTAGGGATTTTGGTTTACCTGGGAAAACCTCAAGCTCGGAAATGAAAGCATCTGAAAGCATCCGCTTTTTGGGTATTCTGTAGATCCCYTCCCTTAGAAGTTTGGTTTTGGGGGAATTGCTTTTTAGGGAGCTGCTCCTCATCTTGCTCCTGCCTGGCTGGCGTGGGAAGCGCTGGGAGGGAGGAGGGAAAAGGCAGTCGGAGGACTTTGTATGTTAAGTAATTTGTAGGTGGGAGAATGGAGCCCTTTGAAAGAGTCCTCCCTTGGGAAAAATGTTTGGAAAAAAATAGTCTGCCGAGCGGAATGCRGCACGGGGGAAGCAGTGCTAAATAGCACCCGCTCCTACACACCATTTGGATGCCTTTCTTCATAAATCCGTGTGTTTTCGCTCTGAAAGCAGCTCAGTGGAGGCAGTTTGCAGAAATGTCTTTGTGATGGGCTCCCAGAGCGTCTCTCTGCTAAAAAGCAGCTACCAGCTGGGCAGAGCAGTTGCACCAAGATACCCCCAAGCAGCGTTTCTTGCTCTGTGCCTTCACCCGTGCCCACAAGCCGTCGCGTTCCCGCTGCTCTATGCGTTGCTCTTGCAAGCTGCTCTGCTCACCTCAATGCAAATAGCCTAAAAACAAACTTGCAGAYCCCCCTCTGGAGGGTCTTTCACTGCCTGAGGCCCTTTCCCCCTTCATTATGGTCATGTTAATTGAACCAAAAGGAGCAGGATCAGCTTACACCACCCCGTGACTCCCAGCGGTTGAGCAGAAAGAAAAGGCTGGCCCAGCAAATGCCTTAAAGTGCCCCTGAAATCCTGCACAGGTCAGCTGGATGCCTTCATTTATTTATATATTTGTTTTTATCCTGCCCTTTGAGCACGGCGGCTGCAACCCGACTGCTTTGGGCCTTCGGRCATCTGGACAGCTGAGGTCCATGTTGCCCATGCCAAGGGTGGTAGGTCCAGGGAGAAGATGTCTGGGTCAGAGCTAGCTAGAGACAGCCAGACTCGAATCCGGCTCCTGAGCTGTTGCCATCAGCTGGGATGAGACCCCCAAAGGGGGGTTTGCTGAAGCATCGTGTCCCAGATTCCTCCTGCTCAGGGTTATTTTTCTATTCCAGTCCCCAGGGTGTGATTCAGCAGAAATAACTACCTCCAGCCCCTACCTTCTCCCTGCCAAAGAGATGTCCTAGCAATCAAGCCCTTCTTTCTCATTTATTTGAAGCGTTTTTTTCCAGGTGTTTCTTGTCCATCCAGTCTTGGAGCCGTCAGCTCCGTGTTACCATCTTGGGTATCCATCTGAGAAGACCTCTCTTAGAGGTTCTGAATTTTCAGTGCGTCTGTAGACGAGCAACCGTTAATTATTAGTCGAAGCAGCTGGGGTTTGGAGGGGGGACTTTTAGGAGAGTTCCTGGCTGGTGGTAACAAAACTGGGGTCTTTTTTTGCAGGTGATGCTGACAGGAGCCAAGGGCTCAGGCCGTACCTCTCGCTATTAGCAGGAGCACTGCCAGCAGAATCCCACCGTGCTAAGAGAGACTTCAGTCCCACTACTCACCTGAGCCTAAAGCAGACCCAAGAAGAGCCCTCAGCCAACTCCCTGGGACAGATTAAATTTAACCCCACAGTGGGACACATTGTGATTAATGAGCACAAAGACGTCACGTTCAACTGCTCCATTAAAGTGCCTCATTTGCTGCTCAGGCCAGACATGCCTGGCATTTCCTTGTGGAAGGACGGCCGTGAGATGCACACGCTGGACCGCATCGCCACGAGCCACTTCGAGATCTCGGATGAGGAGGAGGTGGCGATGACCTCCACCTTCAGGTAAGTGGTGCAGACYTTCCCGTTTAGGTGGGAAGGACCCCGGAGCGCTGGGTAGGGGGAGAGGCTGGAGGGCAAGAACAGGCGGTTGGGACTGGGATTGTAGGAAACTGCTTTGGGTGAGGGAGGACTGAAGTTTGCTGTCGCTGAATAGCCAGAGCTTAGCTCTTCTTAGGGGCTCTCCTCAATGAACTGTGGTGGAAAACAAACTGCTGTACTTCATTGCCTGAGCTCTGCCCGTCCTGCCCATTTGCAGTTAAAGGCTGTGCCAGCAGAACTGGCAGGAGCAAAATAATCTTCATTCTGACCCTCCCCAGTCCTCGAAGCCTAGTTTTGGAAACCCARCTTTTGTTCGATGTGTGTTCTGGTTTAGCTGGTGCTGATTCAAAGCCACCTCCAACTTGGCAGTTTTGCTGTGTCTTTCTGTGGAAGCCTTTTGCAGGACAAGTCTCCCTGTCAAAGCCCTTATATGGTCTCCGTTCTCTCTTGCAGCATCCATGCTGCCCAGCGCTCAGATAACGGCTCCTACGTCTGCAAACTGAACATCTCCAATGTGGAGATTGCATCTGATCCGATCTTCGTGCAGCTAGAAGGTGAGCTGGAAGAGGGCAAGTGCAAAAGGGTTGGAACTGTGGGATCTGCTGACATCTGTCTGAGGAGCAGCCCCAGGGGCTGTGACTTTGAAGTACTAGCTCTCCATCAGCAATGGAGAGTATTGGATAGGAAAGGGCTTATTGCTGGGCGTGGAGACAACTCCAGGAGGGACAGTTTGGGGCCTGTTTTTACAGTTGTTGCCCACACACATGGTGCTGTGGTCCCTGAATCTCTCGCTTCACCACTTGCATCCGGACAGGGCTCCCACACTTCATTCGTCAGCCTGAGAAGCTGAATGTCACCAAGAACAGCCCCTTCAACCTCACTTGTCAAGCCGTGGGCCCACCAGAGCCTGTGGAGATCTACTGGTTTCGGAACAACATCCAAGTCAACGCAAAGCCTCACATCTCTCCGTCAGTGCTGACTGTGCCAGGTAAGCCTGATAGCATCTTGCCTTCTGAAAGAGAAGGGCAAGAATGTGTCTGGCACCATCTGGTGCTTGGCTGGGAGGTTGTAATCTTGTGCTGTCAAGGACTGAGTTAATGTTTTGGGACTGTGGTGGCCCGTGGCAGACTGTTCCACCTRGGCAGATGCAAGGCTTGCCAGCCGATATGGTGTCAAGGAGGCACAGGATAAAAAGCATCCCTGAGTTCAATCCTTGAGTTCTGCAAGTTTCATGAGCTCACAGAGCATTTGTGTAGGTGCTGGACACCTCTGCTGCACGATTAGCTCTGCATTTGGGCATCTCTTTGAGTACCTAGATGCTATAGTCAATTTAATTTAGAGCCCTGCAGTTCACACGGCACTTGCTCCTGCAAGTTGGGGCAGCAAAAGGAATGCATTGGGGGAATGCAAAGTAGACCAAGGTCCAGTCTTTTGTGGGAGCTCATTCCTTGTCCTGTCTGTGATCACTTCCATCCTCTGAGGGCTTTTCTCCACCTGGAAAAGGAACCCAAAGACTGTAGGATCTCCATCCTTGGRGATAGTCATAGCTTAACTGGATCATRAGAAACCTGATGTAACTTAGAAGTTGGATCTAACTTCAAAGATGTCTCTGTGGGGATTTGGACTAGTGACCTTCAGAGATCTCTTCGTCCCTGTTGAGCTTTATCTCCTGAGCTTCCCCTCCATTGCTAAGCCACGTAGCTAAACTGCCTCTGTCCCTCTCCATTGCTGCTCTGGCTGGCATCAATCTGTGCTGCTAATTCAGCAGCTTTGGGGATTGCTCTGTCAGAGGTGATCTGGAGGCATTAACCCCATGCAGCTGCCTTTGGCTGCAGAAATTTCTCCCCCACAAGAAGGGCACACAAATTCTGTCCTACGCAACAAGCCTATTTTTCCTGTAGCCAAGCCACCTTGCAGCTGCTGTGGACTGTTTTGCTGATTATCTGCTCTTCAGTCTCTGCGAGGCCAAGTGCTGGTCCCTGCATCATGTTTCCATGCCAGGTTGGTGGAGCACAGAGAGAAGAGTCTCCCATTGCAACGTAAATCCTAGTGTGAATTTGCTGCAGATGCAGAAATGAGGGAGAATTTCTTGGTTTGCTCTCAGAAGGGGGCCAGTAGCATATTAGCAGCTAGACTATAACTCACTTGGCTTCCAAAGATAGACTTTAAAAGACAGTGAAAGCCGGAAGAAGTGACTCATTCCGCCTGGATTTTCCTGCATCCGGTTGGTAACTGTTAGGTCGGGTCGTTTGAACAGTCTCCCTCCTGGCCCAGGAGTCCTATTGAACTCAGAGAGACTGCTGCTTTTTTGAGCAGCAAAGTTCTTCATGTTGCACTTACAGGAAGGCATTTCCCTCAAATCAACCCAGATAAAGTTGTTTTTAATTCCCGTAGTAACAGGCTCTTGCCTCAGGATTGTATCCTGGTGCTACTAGAGCTGGTGTCCAAATATCCTTGATTTCTCTCCAGACTTGGATTAGTCCACAATGAATGGGTTCATTCCAGTTCTGCAGCTACAGGGGACTCTTTTTCCTTCCACTGGAGAGGGAAAGGCTCTAAAATGAAGACCTGGATATTACCCAAACAGCAATGGGATGTGCTGGCATAGTGGAACGGGCTGATAGATCATCTCCCTCCCCATTTTCCATCCAGTGAGTCACACCCTCACTTTTTGCAGCCAACCTCCCAAAGCACTGCAGTATACCTGGCTAAGTAGGCTGGAGGTGCAGGTGGCGGATTTTGTGCACTTTAATGCAGATCTTTGAGGATTTCTGAGCTGCATTAAAACCTCTGTGAGCATTGCACACAATTTGAACTTTTCTTGGGGGAGGCAGCAGGAGAATGAATGCTCATAGATAGAGCTCCCTGGAGAGAAGCTCTGCKCTTGCAGAAGAGCCCTTTGCCCAAGACTGAAGTCCTGAGCAGTGTGGCTTGCTGGGGTCATCTCACACAGGCCCTGCTTAGACTCTAGGGATAACAAGCAGAAATCTGCACTTGGGTATTTCCAGTAACCCCAAGAAGCAGTCTTATCAGCAGGGGGATTTGAGCAATCTTCAACAAGTCTTAAGTCATTTGGTTGCAGCCATGGTRGTGGGCTCTTCTGCTTTCTGTCTTTCCCTTTTTGAATAACAGGCAAGTGCTTACTCAGGAGGTTGTGCAAGGGATCCATAAAAACACCCAGTCCTGTCCGTTCTGACACATCTCACAGTGGCCATGCTCACGTGCCCGTGGGGCAGACAGTGGGTGACTTGGACCATTGCGGGTCACCTTCAGCCACCGTGCTGCTGAAGGCGTGGAGGAAGTGGTTAGTGCAAAAAAAAAAAGAGGGGTCTTTTGTGTTACTGGAAAAGAAGAATGTGGAAGTAAAGCAAAGGAAGCCACAAGAGTGTTCTGTGAAGAGCAGGTTGGTGTGATTGGGGTGTTTTATRCAGCACAGGGAGCAGCTCCTTGTTTTTCCCACGGCAGGTCTTAACGAAACAGCTCTGTTCAGCTGTGAGGCTCACAACAGCAAAGGGCTGACTGCATCCAACCCAGGGCAGGTCAATGTGAAAGGTAAGTGTCCATAATCCATAATGTCCATAATGTGTCCATAATCTTACCTGTTCAGTACGGGTGTATCTAGCAGGAGCTATCCTGGCCTCCACTCTTCCCAATAATCACTCTTAAACTAGCAGAAAAGCAGATTTTTAGGATTTATTTTATTTTTTCTCTGCTCGAAACCTAATTTTAAAAATCAAACAGGATGCACGTAAGAGCATGGTCATCGAATGGTGTTCTGTCATCTGGTACAAGCGTAGCCCCAGTGTTGCAGCCGTGGAGGAGGCACCAAAAAGCACACTGGAAAGCAGAATTGTCAAAATTGGAGTAGGTTTCGGAAGGACTGTATCACTGTTCCCTTGGATGGAGCACATCCAGGGCTATGCTCATGATTTTCCATAGGATATGATGGAAATTCTTGACATTCCTGATGGAAATAACTCTGGCAGTGCAAGAGAGGTGTTTCCCAAAATATGTCACCCAGAGAGCTGTTTTCAGCTGATGAAATAGATGGATATATCCCATCTATTATATGGGATATGGGATATATCCCATATCCCAGAGACCCTCAGCCACGTGTACCACTGCTAATGTAGCCYCACTGTCTTCCTGAGATAGGCTGAGCATCCCACAGACCTCCAGYTCAAGGCGTAAGGACCAGATTCAGCTCCCCCATCTTGGAGCCTGGGACTTCGGCAACCTGGAAATTTGGAGAATTAAGAGCACTTGGGCCTATTCAGTGTCATGCTGCTTCCGGGCAAAACTAGCCTGCTTCCCCATGCAGCCAGGGGTGTTTAGGCAGCATGAGAGCAGAGTGAACCCACTTTTTCTTTCCAGGAATACCCTCTGCACCCACTAGCGTGCATGTCCTGAACAGAACGGCCCACAGCATCGCGGTGTCCTGGGTCCCAGGCTTTGATGCCTTCTCTGCTTTCAACAACTGCAGTGTCCAGGTAAGCACGTGGCCCTTGTCTCTATGGCCTGCTCATTCCTGGATGTTCAAGCATAGGTAGAAATCAGTATTTCTGCACAGTCTTGACATGATCCAAGGCCATTGGTTTGGGCAAACTGAGTCAGAGTTTTCCAGAGGTTTCGAAAGAAGAATTATCCTGCCTGGACCTGCCATCTGGGTAGCCAGCAGATTTATGGTCAAATCAGTTAAGTGGTCCAGGCTCAGCAGAGAACAGTCCCTAGGCTGGGACCTGGGGTAGTTGGAGCACTGTTGAGGTGGGCAGAAGCCTTTGAAGTTGCTTCTGAAGATCAATTATGGGCTAAGTTGTCAGCTTATGGACTACAAGAACAGAGAGTCTGCAAGAGACATCCCACAGAGAAGCCAACAAAGGGAACTGTGAAGCAGGTTTTCATCCCAGGAGCAATGTGGTAGAGTGGGACAGAAACAAGGCGCATCAGGAACAGCAGAGCCCACCATTGGGAAGTGCCCACRTGGGTTTGTGCCTGCAAAATGTGCAGGAAGCCACAAACTTTTGCCTTTTAGCCAGCTGTGCCATCCAATTCAAGGGCAACTGTGTTTTCCACTGGCTTGCAACTTCCCCGRAGAGTCTGTGGGCATAGCCACGTGGCAGAGCTGGGTGGCACACTGGCAGAGAGGCTTTGATGAAGCAAAAAGATAAATTGAATGGAGGTGGTGGATTACAATGATGCAGGTCAGTTTCTTCTGTGGTGCAAAGGTGCTTCCTGGTCATTATGTGGTTGGAACTGAGCCATAAACTGGTCTGCGCTGGGTGCCACTGCCTAACTGGCTGTTTGAGTGGGCAGAGGGATCAGGATTCTAGTCCTGGTCCTCAAGATGTGAGTCGTTAGCTCAAAAGTTCATCCTGTCCCATTTTAGACATCTACAGAATACCTCTACAATCAAGAAGAGAAAGGTGAACTTCTTAGATGGCATTTTAAATCAAGATCTTTGAGTGAGACAGTCAGGTTGTCATGTATCCTCCTAGAGAAATGCCCCAAACTGGTCCAAGAAGCTTTTTGGGAGACTGAAAGTCTTGAGTTTCTACATTAAACGCTTCTCAACCAGGTTGTCTTCCTAGTGGGGTTTTTGGGATGGAGGCTCATCTTGGTTCTGCACTCCTGAGGAGCTGATGGGTCTGCCTCCTGATGAATGCCATCTATATGCATGCAGTCCTGCAAGAAGTTTCCACCTGCTCTCTCTTTTTTACATTTTTATCATGTTTTTACATGTTTTATCATTTACATTACATCATTACATTACATCATTTATCATTTATCATTTACAAATAAGTCTGTATTTATTAGCCTTAATTTCAGAGCAATTTGTCTTAGGCGCTTGTTTCAAAAGTTGCATTCTCCTCCAAATTTTGTTGGAGGAGAACAAGCGTTTGGATCTGGATGACAGTGGTGACCACTGAGATCCGGGTTCAGATCTGGCCCAATACCCTCCTATGACTCCCTGATACCCTCTCGTTAGCCAGAGCTCTAGTAGGACCTGCTGATGAGCAAAGGGCTGTCCAGTGAAAACAAGCAGCAGGACAGACTCTTTCTTCCCATTTCCTCTCAGCAGTCTCCCCCAGTGCTGTGTGACATCTTCAAAAGTGAAAGGACAGGGAGGAAAGGGCTTACAGAGGTAATTTTAGTGCACTAYCCACTTGTATGTTCCTGTTGGAGCTCAGGAAGTGGGGTGGAGGGCCAAAGAATTTCCTATGACTTCACGCTCATGATCTGTCATTAGGAAGKAGCCTTTCAAATTGGAAAAGGAGATATATTCCTGGCAAAAACATAACTGTGACTAAGCCTTTTTGCTCCTATCCCCTTTGATAACCCCCTGGTTTGGGTAGTGTGGCCGTGGTGCGGCCGAGTAACTAATTTCTGAACATATGAGTGGTTAAAATGGAAGCTGTTGTTATCACACCTAACAGGTTTCGGCTGTTTAAGTTTGTAAAGGGCCTTTTTCTTTTTCCCTCGTGCATTGATCTGATAGATTGTTTACGGAAAGACAATTTTAGGATAGAGATAAGTCAGCCGAGTGGCCAGTGTCAGTGGTGGTTGCAGAAGCTGCTTGCATGTTCTTCTCGTTGTTGGTCCCCCAGAACACATCAAAGTATTTTGCCATGGATTTTTGACCTCCTGAGTCCTGATCCTGCCTGCTTTATGAGACTGAAGGGCCCGTCTTTTCCATTTTTGTTGGAAAATATTCACAATGTCAATGTTGAGATTGTCTTTTGTGGCCCAGGCTTCCCAGCAGGTGCTCTCATTCTTCAAGCATAAGGACAGGCTGTCTGCAATCCCCAGACTATGTTACAGAGGCTTTAGGAAGAACTATGAGACTTTGTCCTTGTGATCCACACTACAACATAGGTGGGATGAGAAAAAAACYGCCAAGAGCTGGGAGAAAGCCTGTTCCTTCAAGGCCATTTCATCCCAGCTTGGGTTGTCTTCCAAACCCATTGCCTTGCTCACACTAGTGTCCCTCATTTTTGCAATTCTTGCTGTCCCAAGCTGCTCTCATAATCATAGAATCATTATGATTGGAAAAGACCTTTAAGATCATCAAGTCCAACTGCAAACCCTTCAACAGCAAGCCTCTTGACCATGATACTTATTTTGTTCCCGGCGCTTCACTGATGCATTTGACAGATCCAACCCAACTGGGGCACTTTCTGGAGAGTTGCATGGGGTGGCAGGTGCAGTTACATGGGCTCCTACAGCCCAGCAGTGCAGGGAAGCTCTTCAACAAGCTGTTTTCTACTAGATCTTTATCTTTAATAGCCTTGGCAGCCCAGTCCACCCTGAATTTGTCTAACTCTACTTTGAGCCAGTTTATAATCTTGGCTTCTGCAGCTTCTGTGACAATAAATTCTCTGGTATAACAATGTGTTCTCTGAAAAAAAAAAGAAGGGCTTGACTTTGTTTGAAACTTACTGCCTGGTAATTTTCTTGGGCACTCTTTTTGTTTCTTATGTCACAAGAAATGTCATTTTTTCACTCCGCTTTCCACAGCAGTCACCRTTTTACACACCTCTGCCTTGTCCCTGCTGCGACTGTTTCTTCTCTTGTGTTTGGGACCTAGCCCTAGGCTCTCTGATCAGCCTGCTGTTGGCTTTGCACTAAGTAAAGATGAGATGGCTTCCAAGAACAAATCCCTGGTGCAGTTTTAATGAAGCAGCAAGAGAGGCAGAGCCCTGGATCCTGTTTACAGATGTGAAATTCCTGCTGTGCGTCTCACCCTGCAGGTTGTTGCTGACTAATCCCTGTTTGTGGACTGCTTTTTTTCTTTTTTTTTTTTTTTTTTTTTTTCAATTAAGGTCAAGGAAGCTCTTCCACAAACCAATGTCTCACTCCAATTCTTCAACACCTCGGTGCCTCCCCATGTGTATCACATCCAGCACCTGTGGCCCATGGTGCTCTATAACATCAGTGTTTCCTGCAAAAACGAAGTTGGCTGGTCGGCGTTTAGCCCCTGGATAACAGCCAGTACTACTGAAGGAGGTAGGAAATGAGTAGCTCATATTGAAAAGGGCTTCCCCATTTAGGTCGTGCAGCTGTGCTTGGTGCAGGGCTGCCTGGATGAGGTGCTAGTCATGGGTGCTTCCAAGGTGGGACATCTTTACTGAATGGAGAAAGGAGATTTACCCACAAGCAGTCGTCTACTGGAAATGCCAAAGGCTGTAAGAAATATTATGTGTTTCTGGTTGGCTTTTCATAATGCCAATACAAGGTCTGTTGGGAGTCTTTCTGCCCTGTTCCTTGATTCTGCCCTTGGGAGCTCTGCAAAGAGGGAGCAGCACCTTGAGTATGGGAGTCTGGCTGCTGAGGGGGGAGATAGAGCTGCTGGGAATGGGAGAGGTGTGGGAGCAGGGGAACTCACTGAGAATGGGTCTTCGTTAGGCAGCAGGTCTTGATCTGCAGGAGTCTTTTGTGGTCAGCCTATGGTGACAGTGGGGGCTGGACACCTCTGCCTGACTTCCTTCACCTTCTTTCTCTCTGATTCCTACAGCTCCAAACATCCCACCGCTGAACGTCACGGTGTCGTTGAATGAATCCAGCTCCTTCCTGGAGATCCGATGGGTGAAACCACCCCTGGAGAAGATACACGGGGAACTGCAGGGCTACCATATCTGGTACGGGTGCCAGGGCTCCAAAGGATTGGTAAGTCATGAARGGACGGGGGAAGAGTAACTAAAGCATAGCAAAAGCCCTCAGAGATCAAGCACTGAAGTCAGGTTTCACCTTGGTGCTTCCCTTTATTTTTTCCTGAGCCAGTTTTTCTGTTGTCTTGTGCTCTCATCTCTACTTCTTTGGTACAAGTGGTCTTTCTGACGTGCGTTTGAAGTGTGCWTAACTCACAGAATCACAGAGTCACAGAATCACACAACGGTTGAGGTTGGAAGGGACCTCCAGAGATCATGCAGTCCAACCCCTGCTCCAGCAGGGACACCAGAGCACGGAGCACTTGGTCTCATCCAGGAGGGTTTTGAATGTCTCTGGAGAAGGARACTCCACAGCCTCCCTGGGCAGCCTGTTCCAGGGCTCTGGCACCCTCACAGTAAATAAGTTCTTCCTCTCACATAATTACTGTTAGGAAGAAGGAATTCTGCTTAAAGGAGATGATATTTATCCACCATGGTACCTTACTGCTGATCAGAAGCTCTATCATAGAAGTGAGTTGCTCTTTCTTGTGTYGAAAATCTCTGGCATTGTCTTTGGAGTGATGGTCAGGGTTTGGGTGCATCCCTTGGCAATTTTATCAGTGGAACTAATCATAAGGCATCTGGGAGAATTTGACTCCTTGCCCAGGCTCTCCATGTGGCTGGGGAACAGGGAACACACCAAAACTGTGTGGCTATATCCAGTCATCGCCTCTGCACTGTGTTTTGGTCACCCTCTGTCCCAAGCTGCAAGCACAGGGAGCCTCCAAARACCTATATTCTGTGTGGAAGGACTGACTCACACTCTTTTTCTGTAAGACGCTGCGTTTTCTGTTCTCCTTTTGTACTTCTAAAAAGGGGCATGGATAGATCCAGCACAACGAAGTCAAGGAAACAATATTACAGTCTTGTGACTATCACGAAAAAAAGAAATCGCTGACACAGTTGTTGCCTCCCAAGCAATAAGTAACAAACAAGACTTGCCCTCTGAGCTCTGGGAGACTTCTTGCTTCTTATAAAGTGTTTACACAATGCAGTTACAACTTTGAGATGAGGTCAAATGGCTGTTCCCATTAACGCTGGCTCTCGGGAGGCTCAAAACCCAACGTCTGGTGAGGTGTAGCGGGTGGGAGATAGGGGGAGAAGGGAGATTTCCTCTGTGCTCTTTGCAGATGAGAGGCTGCAGTTGGGTTCATTGCTGAGTCATTTAATCAGCTTATGGGTTTTATGGAAGGGTGAAAACGCAAGCGGTGACGTCAGGCTAACACAGTCTAGCGCAAGGACCAACACTTCCTTTCCATGAAGGCCATCAGAGGGTTAAGGAACACTGGAATGGTTTTATGCCTGTGCCATAATCTCTCTCCAAAGCACTTGGGAGCTTTCTAACCTTACTGCATTCTAACCTTTAAGCTCAAAAGCATCCTGCCAGGCTGCCTACGATCTTTCTGCTGGAGCACATGGACAAGCAAACTAAAGCAAGAGCCTTCTATCAAATGAAGCTCTTTTCCCTCTCAAAAAAAAAAAACATTTCTGAGCTTTGTCCCTGGATGAATATGAAATGTGAAATGCCAGGTATTTTTCCTTCCTGGGGCGCAGATGTGGCACAATTACAGCAAGTAGTGTCTCCATAGGCTGTGTGATACCAGCAAAAAGTACTTAAATGACACGGGAGAGCTGTGTGAGATGCTAAAGGACACCAGTGCACCTTTGAGGTGGTGGTGGTGAAGTGATATCATATGTATTTCCRCCTAAGGATACCATGAAAGCAAAGCTATAGGGAAAGGAAGGGAAAATAGGAGCCAAGCCAGCAGCACACGTGCCAACAGAGGCAGGTTTCACAAGGCAGCATCTTCCACCAGCGTGCATGGATTTGTGCCTGGTGCTCGTGCATGTTTCACATCCATTTCTGTGGCTCTTTCATCTGGCTGTAAAAAGAGATTCACTTCCCTCTGAGCACTTATTTCCTTGTCCACCCGATCTCCTCYGTGCCTGTTTTTGCTTGGCCCTGGGACAGCCAAGCTCTGCTGTCCACACCAGTTTGCCAGATGTTTTGTGCATCCCGGAGCAGTAGCTTTGCAGCTGGGAGCCAGTGTGGAGCAGAGGCAGGCACTTTCTCAGCTGTTTGGCTGACTCACAAGAAGACCAGGAAATAACAGGGAATTTGCAGGCAAAAGAATGACTCGCCGCTTTATCAAGGAGAAAAATGTGTGCCACAGAACACGCTGTTACCAAGCAGGGAGACGCGCTCTAAAACTGGGAATATTATTAGCTCGACCCAAAACCACAGTGAGAAAATATCTGCTCCGAAATCCACTTTCTGCAGCTCTTTGATGGTGAGACCAAGAGCGCGGTGCCCAAATGCCAGCAGAGCTGGCACGGATTCCTGCTGCCAGCAAGCAGCCAAGCCCTGTTGCTTTTGAGGCTTGCAGGCTTATACAGACCCAGCCAAGTGCATTTAGTGGCTGGGAGAGCAAAGGCCATGGCCAAGGTGCGTGTTGCTCCTCCTGGCCGTGTTTTGCTGCTGCTTTCCTTTGGCACTGCCCCGCTGGAGCAGGGGAGCGCTGCGGAGGCTGGCGCTCAGCCAGCAGCAGCACAGAGCACCCGCTGTGTCCGGATGGGGCTGGCTCTGCCCGGGCATCAGATCCCCTGGGTTGTATAAGAGGCAGCAYGGGGTGCACCGAGGGACAGAGCTACAGTGTCGTGGTGGCTTTTATGGCAGCTCCTGCAAAGCTGCCTCGCAGCGACAGCAGGAAAGATGCCTTTCATCTTGCTGTGGAAATGGAGGTTGACATCCAAGTGGCTATAGGAGATATGTGTTTACAGGGAATGGAGCTGACATCCTGCACAAGGGAGGGAATTAGAGAGAGGCATTTCAAGCCTCAGTATCTTGCCTCCTTCCCTGCAAAACTGCTTTCCACGTGTTGCCTTTTGCCTCTTTTCTGGCTAAGGCTGCCCCACTGCCGTGACAAGCAAAGAGGTTCAGTGGGAAACACCGCTCAGCTCCCTTCCTAATCCCATCCGGTCCTCCAAGAGCTATTATTCTCCATAAATAGCTTGCTGCTGCTCTGTTTCCTCTAGGCTCCTCAAGGCAAAGCCCTGAAAAACCTTAGCAAGGGGCCAATTCTCCGTGAATCCAGGGGTTTCACTCCTGTGGAGCCTTTGGCTGGTAGGCTGCTCGCTCCCTCAGCTCTTCTTCTCTTGCTGTTTCYAGGAGAACACCTCTTTGGAAGCCCAGCAGAACCGCAGCGTGGCCATCCTGCCCGTGGAGACCACAAATGCCACTTGCTCCGTGCGCGTGGCCGCCGTCTCCAAGGGGGGAGTGGGGCCTTTCAGCAGCCCGGTGGAAATCTTCATCCCTGGCGGTGACGGTGAGATGCCCATCTCTTGCACGGGTGCAATGGATCTTGCCAGCCTGCTGCTCGCCTCCTGTTTGCCCTCTAGCTCTGCCTGTCTGCTCAGAAACTGCCACCACTGTTGTGCTCTGCCAATGCCACACAGCAGCACCGTGTCCCCCTTGGGATGTCTTTGCCCTGGGCCAAGCTATGTGGATAAAGCACTAGGAATATGGGATCCTAAGCATGTTTTGGAAGCCCAAGGAAAAAGGCAACTGGAAGAGACCTGCTTTTTCCGTGCCACTCAGCCTTGCCAAGATAAACCCACGTGTCAATGCATGTTGTGCACAGGCTGTTTTCCTCATGCCCTCATCTCCTTTATAGCCCTTATATGAGTTTGATTGGGTTTGGTGACAGCCACAGRGAAATCCTCCCCCGTTTGCAGCGCGCTGCAGACTGACTGTCTCTCCTATGTGTGTTATGGAATGTCTTCTCAGGGTTAATAACCTCAGCCCCCTCTTCGACTGCAGCCTCCAGGAATGCAGACTCCTTTATCATAGCCCTGGGCTTCATCTGTGGGACGGTTTCCGTTGGACTGCTCCTCTGCTTGTCTGTGGTCATCCAGAAAAGATGCGTGGAGACAAAATACGGGTAAGGCAAGGGGAAACCAGCCTGTGGTTGTGTGCTGAGCTGYGCAGGTCAGAAGCCCCTGGGGCAAGGCCAGGCAGGGGCATTTTGCTTGTATCTGATACTGCATGTAGGGAGGCTTCTGCTTCCAGGACTGCTGTCGTTCCTGCAGGTGTTGTTTTGGATGCTGGTGGTGAAGGAATGATTGTGGTTTTACTGCGTGGTGGTTCCCTTCCTCCCATAGCCCAGCAGTTCACCTTTCACTCGCTATTCCTACTTTTAAAGGGAAGTGGACTTGTGCAGTTGTTACAGGAAGGCTGCTCTTGACCTTTTGACAGTGATGAGAGYGCAAAGATGCATAATATCCTGTGCCTTAAGGCCTCGAGAAACCTCTCCTGCCTCGTCAAGCACCAAACCTTTCCTGGTCCAGCATCTGAGTGTGATGATCCTACGTGCATCCAGTGTCAGACTTGTCTCGATTCTCAGCCTCCTTCAGGCAAAGAGGCTCCCACTGGACTGCATTTAGTTGTGTTCTTAGTAATGTAGATAAAGGACTGTTTTCTACTGCAGTAAACCAACACTCTTTGTGACTTGATGGCATTTGTCTGCCCTGTGCTATTTTCAGTAGGAAATCACAGGGTCACAGAATGTTCAAGGTTGGAAGGGACCTCTAGAGATCATCTAGTCCAACCTTCCTGCTCAAGCAGGGACACCTAGAGCATGTGGCATAAATAATTATGGTGTTTGTAGCTTTTCTTATAACCAGTATCATTTTGATGCCCAATGTCAAACGGAAATCTAAGTAATTCCTTTGTAAGAGCATCATTTCTGGAAGGGGTTCTTCTGAGCTGGGTAAGGAATCACACCTACTTGTTCTCCCAAGACATTGCCCCCAATCCCAGTTTAGGAACTGACTGTACATCAGGATCCCTTTGTGAGTGGTACAGCGTGATGGAAATCTCTCCCTCCTTGCAATGGTAGTTCCCTGGAGGGTCTTCAACAGCCRAGGTGTTGTCCTTCTCCAGGGCTGGACCCCTGCATGGTCCCACATCAGAGAGGTGGCACGGCACGTCCCAGCCGCAGGCACACGCCTGCTTCAGGGCTGTGATTTAGAGCCCCTTTTGGTTTCTTCTTGGCTAAAATCATGATGGTTTCTCGTGCTAGCACCGAGCCTTGACACACTGGAGTTGTGTATCCCACAAGCAAACAGCTTGCTGTAGGAAGCAGTTGGTCTGGACACCATATTCCTGCCGCTGGCGTGTGTGTGTAGGAAATGAGTAGCCCATTTCCTCCCCCAAATATCTCTGTGACTAACTCCTTTATAGATGAGCCATGCTTATCAAGTAGCTGTTTTCCTCAGACATTGTAAGCAATGGCACTCATCCAGTAAGAGGGAAATGAAAGAGATTTGGGCAAATGTGTATTTCCTTCTTTACTCTTGAGCTCATTGGTAATGGTGCAGTCACCCATCCCTGCAGCTGCAGCACTGTCTTCCTTGAATAGATGAGCGGGAGCCCTGTGTGGCCCAGCACGTTCTCCTTCTGTTCCACCAGGAATGCTTTCAGCAGAAATGATTCAGAGCTGGCAGTGAACTACACGGCTAAGAAGTCCTACTGTCGCAGAGCTGTTGAACTTACACGTAAGTGATTTTTTTTTCCTTTATTCCACTGTCAAGGAGGTGACAGAGGATATCTCAGCAGAGGCAACAGAACAAGCTAGCGGTAAATGTGTGTATCCTGGTACAGACCTGATTTCTCCAGCTTCTCATCTGTCTGCCAAGCTGGGCTTTCTTTCCTGGCCAGACACAAAACGTTTATGCTCCATCTCTGGCTGGACAGCCCATGAGCATCAGCAGAAGCTTGGTATACCAAAACTTTGAAGTCCTGGCCCTTGACCATCTTCACCCATTCACATACCATACAGCATCCTGGTGCATTTGGTCACAGGTTGTCCCATGGCTGCAGTCTGTGCTAGAGGTGAGCTGAGCTCCTGCTCCCTTCTCTTACAGTGGGCAGCCTGGGTGTCAGCAACGACCTCCAGCAGAAGCTRCAGGATGTTGTCATTGACCGAAATGCCCTCAGCCTGGGGAAGATCCTGGGAGAAGGTGAGTGAAGGTGCTGTTGGGGACGGCAGGTTGGGGATGGACATGAAGCTGGCGTGGTATGGAGTGTAACTGTTGCTTCATGTACTCTCCATTGCATCATTCTCCAATTCCAGGCCCAGGGGTTGTGGAGGAGGTGGTGGGTCAAGATGACCAAGCACTAGGACCCCTGTGTTTGTGTCCTCATTCTGCCACTAAGGAGAGAGAAACCTCCTCCAGCCAGTCYGTGGGGGATGAAGCCTCCATCTTACAGCCTGACAGATCATTTGAAGATGTAATGATGTCTTAAAGGATAATGCTTTGCAGGGTGGAAAAAATGTTTACGTCTTTCCCATGCTGCAGGGGAGTTTGGATCAGTGATGGAGGGACGTCTCAGCCAGCCTGAAGGCCCTGTGCAGAAGGTGGCTGTGAAGACCATGAAGTGTAAGTTGCCTTCGCCTTGAAACACTTACTTAATATTGTTTCTTCCCAGGGATAGATGCCAGATCTTCCTTTCTTTTACCCTAGACCATGTAACACTTAATGGTGCCCATCAAAACCATGTGAGAGATCCTTGCTCTAAGCTCCCACCRCATCCATCCATTCTTTCTGTGCTTCCTTGTGAGATTCCAACCTCTGGACCCTTGTGGCTCAGTGGAGTCACTGGGAAAATGTTGCTSTCGCTTTCTGCATCCCCCTGTCACAGCTCCGGGTGCCAACCAGAGAGAGACTGAATCAGGGAAGGTGATTTGAGGAGATGCTGAGTAAATGCTGAGCGGCAGAGGAGAAGACATGGTGGACACAGGGGGAAAGGTGTGTGGGTTGTCACATGCCTTTTCCTGATGGCAGTCAAGGCTGAGGTCTTTTTGTTCCCCACCAAAGGATCTTCATGTCTTTTGACCAAGGTTGTCTTGAAACATCAGGAGGTGACAGGGCTCATTTGCTGCTAAATGAGATACTCCTGACTTTTTGGTGTCCCTAATCAAATGCAGGCTTTTCCTCACCCCACTGCCTCTGTACACCCTGCTGCTACTGCATGAATGGGGTAGGGCTGCCCCCTGCTTTTGTTTTGTGCTGAACAGACCAAAAGCTAGTGTGAAGTCCACCTCTGTCTGTCTCTGTCGTCTTGGTGGCCCCTTCCCCTCTGCTCTACATGGAAGATGTGTTGGAGTAAAGGGTGATGGCAGCAGCGATTTAGGCTGTTAAAGCTCTTTGTTTTAAACTTCCTCATTTCTTGTGCTTTCTAGTGGATAACTTTTCCCAAAGGGAAATAGAAGAGTTCCTCAGTGAAGCAGCGTGCATGAAGGATTTCGACCATCCCAATGTCATCAAGCTCCTAGGTACGGACTACTGCTCTCCCYACCTTCTAGCTGAGATGGGCTTCCTGGCCCTGGGCTATGGAGCTAGATGGGGGAGTGCTCAGCTCTCTTGTACCTGTGGGAGGAGGGTGGTACTTTGTCCACAGGGCTCTGAAAATTGTGTTTTGCAGGTGTGTGCATTGAGCTGAGCTCTCTGCAGGTCCCCAAACCCATGGTGATTCTCCCATTCATGAAATACGGTGACCTACACAGCTTCCTGCTTCGTTCACGGCTGGAGATGGCCCCCCAGGTAATGAATGCAGGGAGCAGAGAGCCCTGCGTCTGGGAGGGGTGGGGTGGGACTGTGTCTCTTTGGGACAACAGGCAAAAGCTGCCTTTGTTTTTGAGAACACAGAGAACTTGATTGTGGTCCTGCTTCCTGCCTTGGTCAAATGACGATGGTGGGATCCAGCTCCCACAAAAACCTGTGGTCTGCTTCCAGAATTCACCAGGGCTGAGTTATGCCTGTTATGTGCTTCGCTCAGAAACCAAAGACTTCCAGRCACGGGGAAGACTTGGTACCCACAACCACATAATCATAGAAGAGCTTAGCTTGGAGGGGACTTCTAGATCAATGTCCTTCTCAGGAAGGGCCAATTTCAAAAGCAGATGGGGTTGCTCAGGGCTTGTCTACTCTAGTGAAATTTTGAGCATCTCCAGGAATGGAGACTCTACAGCCTCTCTGGGCTCCTGTTYCCATGTTTGAGCACCTTCAGGGGTAATTTTATTTCAAATACTGAGGAGCAACAGATCAGTATCCAGATACGGCRTCACCAAGGCCAAATAAAGAGGAAGGATTTCTTCCCTCAACCTTCTGGCTGCACTCTTGCTAGTGCAGCCTATTACAAGGTCGGTCTTTATTGATGCAAAGATACGGTGCTGAATCATTGTCAGCTTGCTCTACATCAGGACCCTGGGGTCCTTTTCGGTAGAGCTTTTTCCAAAAGCATGCAATATTAAGGCAGCTGAAGGGAAAGGCAYGGAGGAAGAATATCTAGTTGCAGGCTACCACCAAAAAACTGAAGGAGGAAACAGAGGTGTGATGGTTATGCCCTGCCAACACAGACCACAGCAATGTGTGGTTTGCCAGGACAGGCCCTTCTGCCTGGCAGGATAGCCTGGCAAGCAGTGCTTGGTGTTATTTCCAGAGCAACTGTCCCACACGTGCAGCTCCTGCAGGTTTGTGATTCAATAAATCTCGTGGTCTGAGGCTGTCAGCCCACAAGGGATGACGGAGTCCCCGGTGGCTGCTGTTGTGGCCTCCTTGTTTTCTCCAAGAATAGCTAAACCAGTAGGAGTGCAGCCAGTAGCCCTGAACAAGGAGGTGTTTCAGACAGCACGGCCTCTGCTAGAGCCTGGGGCAAGTCAAACCCTGCAGTTCTGCAGCAACCAGCACGGCCCGTGCGCTGGCCGGCTTCCTGCAGAAAGGGCAAATCTCTCTTTCTTACAAGGAGGGGCCATGCACGTTGTCCCTGCTCTGGTCTCAGCCCCCAGAGGCCCTGGTGACCCTGCTGAGTGCTCGAGCTGATTAAGGCTATCCTTTTGAGATGGTCACCTGCCCTGYTGTGTCCTTCCCGAGTGACCTGCGTGTTCTGACCTCCGTCCCCCTTCCCAGTTTGTGCCCCTGCAGACCTTGCTGAAGTTCATGGTTGATATTGCCCGAGGGATGGAGTACCTGAGCAGCCGACAGTTTCTCCACAGGGATTTGGCAGCCCGGAACTGCATGTGAGTTTGTTTTTCCTCTGTTTCATCATGGGTAGACGAACAACAGCAGGGACCCTGTGGTTTCATACCACTTGCAATGAACATTCACCTTGGGCTTCCTTAAATAAACTCTTCCTTGTTCTTGAGAAGCATGGGAAAACAACTCAATCTGAGGTGTCTCAGAATTTGGTTTGTCATTTTTTTTCCCTTTTTGTTGTCATTTTTAAGCTGTAGAAAGCGATGAGCAGCCGTCACACACAACGCATGCCAAGGAGACACGTACATCAGTGTGTTTATTTGCTGCCTTTGCCTCTCCAGGGCTTTCTGACCCCGTTTCTTCCCGACAGGTTACGGGACGACATGACGGTGTGCGTGGCAGACTTTGGCTTGTCTAAGAAGATYTACAGTGGTGATTACTATCGTCAGGGGCGAATAGCAAAAATGCCAGTCAAGTGGATTGCAATAGAGTCCCTGGCCGACCGTGTCTACACCACCAAGAGYGACGTGGTAGGTAAACACGGTTGGCCATGCAAAAAGCAGGAGTCAATAGTTGGGGGGCAGATCCTGAGGGCAACTGGGTTGAGTTGCGCACATTTGAGGCAGCTTTTTATGGTTGTTTATGTACCCTATAAATGCAAAAAGTGGGGAGGAGAAGGGTGTCAGTAACAAGACGCACTGACCTTTTGTTGCCTGCACAATGTCCTGGAATAGGTTTTCTGAGTGGCCTGCTGGGCTGTTCTGTGCCACTCATTTCCAAATTTGGGGGAGGCAGGGTTGGAGACACAGCTATTAGCATTGTRCAAAAGCCCAGTGGACATTAGGAAATGACCTTTCCCCATGAAAAGTCTCATTCATCCCTCCTGGAAATGCCCTTTCAACACGCTTCCCCTTTGTTCTTGCAGTGGGCATTTGGCATCACCATGTGGGAGATCGCGACGCGAGGGATGACGCCGTATCCAGGGGTGCAGAACCATGAGATSTATGAGTACCTCTTCCATGGACACCGGCTCAAAAAACCCGAGGGCTGCTTGGATGAGCTGTGAGTATTTCCCTCCTGCCTCTAGGCACCAGTGGAGCCTGTTGGCTCGTTGCCTGGTTGTGGAATTAATCTGTGTGTTGCTTATCCTTGGCTGAGGTTGACTTTTGAGGGTGCAACTGATAGTGCTCTTCCCTTTGAGGTTCTCAGTTCTTAATGTCCTTTTTTTCTTTTTCCTAAGGACACAACAACTAACTCATGATGTGGATTGGTGGCTTAGCATCATGTTTAGCTGAAAACCCCCAAAACTAGGACTTGTGGTGCAGCTAAAGAGTGTTCCTTTATGACCATACTCCCAGCTGTTGCAAACTGCTCTAAGTGGAGTAAGAAAAGCCTGTACCAGAGAGGGAGTTCCCTTCCACTCTRCCTTGGAAGGGTCCCCCCAACCTTGATTTCTCTGACAGTCCCCAAAACAAAAAGGTTGCTAAAGGATAAAAATTTAAAACAAAAGTTTTAAGCAAGGACTCAATCTTCTCTTCTTTGTGGGGCTGACGGGCAGAGAGCTAGCAGGAACACACAGGTTTATGCGCAGAAGAAAGTTGACCAGAGTGACAGCTTGGGTCAAATTTTAAATGAAAATATCATAGAAAGAAGGTAGAAACCTTTTTTTTTTTTTTTTTTTTTTTCACAATCTATGGAGTTTTGAAGGGCCTAAAAAGTGCCAAATCCCAGAGCAGAGCACAATGTACCTCAGAAATAATTTAAGAAAGCATCTTTTAAATTCCAAGCAAACTCTTGCATGGAAATTCCAAAGAAAGTCCCCCAAGAAAGCAATGTGTTTGCAGGGTTTGCTCTCTGCAGCATGGTGGCATGGAGTGTTGGGRAGCACCACAGGTGACCTAGCTTGTYCTAGACGGTGAAGATAGGAGCAGTTTCACACTTGTGGTGAAGGGATCAGACTTTTTTTCCCTSTCTTTTTTTGTCCTCAAAGAYAGTACATATTTTGGCCCTCAAAACAGCTGTGTTTGAGCAGCTCAGAAAGGGCTCTTGTTTAAAGTTGACTCAGCTGAGCTCAGTCCCTGAGTTATTCCCAAGTACCCTTACAGCTGAAAATGTTTAAGCCAAAGCTGMCAACAGAAAACTGATAAATTAGGCAAGTTGGTAGGAGTTGCACAGTGAGGCTTCAAAGGTCCCTGTGCAAAACAGCAGCCAAAAGCCTGCAATCCTGCACAAAAAAAAAAGTGCACTTGTTGCAGGTTTGGGGTCCTTCCTCCTTCATAGCCACCCACTTCACTGTCTCCTGAGCAGTGAGTAAGTGTCAGGAATTGTAAGGAACTTGAGCAGCTGAGCGGAGCTGCTTGGATGGGGGTGTCCTTTAGTGGGCAGCTGTGTGTTTGTAGTGACAAAACAGCCTAAGAGGCTGTTCTAGCCTCTTAGAGGGGTAGTTCTAGCTTTGTTTTAGTGCAGAATAGCCCTGGGCTTTGCTAGTTGTCCGTGGGAAGCTAGCACAYGTACAACCCAGAGCCTAATAAATGGCAATACCCTCCGTGATCCCGGCTGCCTCTCCCGTTTTCCAGGTACAACGTGATGTCCGCGTGCTGGAGGGCTGAGCCCGCCGACCGCCCGACGTTCTTGCAGCTCAAGGTCCACCTGGAGAAGCTGCTGGAAGACCTGCCCGGCACAGGGGAGTCCAGGGACGTCCTCTACATCAACACGAACCCGCTGGAGGAGAGCCCGGACTCCACGCAGGACTCGGGCTTCCCCCAAGCGGACTCTGACATGGAGGCTGCGGAGCCCCGGTGCTCCCAGCTGGAGACGGCGCTGGTGGCCGTGGATGTCCACAGCGATGAACAGTGYGGGGCCAGGTATGTCCTCAAGGGCGCCGGCGAGGAGGAGCCCTACGTGCCGCTGCTGCCCGAGGCCGGCGCCTGCCCGGGGGATGCCCCAGTTGCCCCAGTGCCGCTCTGAAACAGGAGGCCTCCCAGCACCGGGATGGAAAGCAGCTTGGTGACCGTTTCCAGCGAGAAAGGCAGAGGTGTTATATTTTAATAAACGACGGTCTGTTTTACTACTTCTTGCATTTATTACTTTCATGTTGGAAGGTGCCCCCCTTCCCAGGAGCTGTTTCTTGGGTTGAAGCCATGAAGTTTTATTCTTGGTTGGTAATTAAATGCTACAACTGTTTGTCYGTTTGTTTGTTTGTTTTCTGTGTTTGGGAGGCTGCTGGTGTTTAAACTCTTGGGGCTCATATGTGAGGGACAGCCCCTCTTCTCCCACCGAGTGGGGAYGGAGCGATGGCAGGGGATACCTGGTGTGGAGGTGTGGGGAGGATCGGCTCCGGGGCACCCCTAGACAGGAAGGCAGCTCCTGGTGCATCCCTGTGGTGGCTTTTTGGCTTTGCAAGCATGACCAGTCCCTGTGGGTGCATCCCCCCTTGGGCTGCACCAGCTGCTCCGTGAACAACTGTCCCGTGCCTGCCCCCAGGTCTGGGGAGGAGCCACCAAGCCAACCTTGGGTGTCCGTCTTCTCCTTGTTCCAACATTCCTTGGTGTTCCTGTTCCCTATAAGTTCAGAGCCTGCTGCCTGCTCCAGTTTTGGGGGAAAAAATAATAGTGACCTGTCGTGGTTTCCCATGCGTGTGGGAGAAAGGATGGTCTGATTTTGGAGCGGGAAGGGTTGATTATTTGGAACCTGCAGAGTTCTCGGTTCATGCTTGGCTCWAGTGCTTCCAACAGAGTGCTTCCAACCCCCCTTCTCCCAGACAGAGGGTTTCGGCCTGTCCCCACAGCATCGCTGCTCAGGTGGAGGTGCCAGCTCTCCGCTGTGGGGAGAACTGGGAGTTGGGGACAAGCTCTGCAGGACCAGGGTGTCCCTGCGAGCCCCTCTAYGGGCGTTCCCTGGGAATACGCGGAGAAAATGATGAATCCTGCTAAAACAATGGAGATGAAAGAAGCTCCAAGAGGGGAAGTTTCCAGCAGGTGAGGATGACCTTCTCCTCCAAGCCCCCCCTGCTTATGTTTTGCCTCTGAAAGCCTCCCTGCTGTCCTCCCCTCTGCTTGGTGGTAACAGGGTGGACAACCCATGGTGCTGGCTCATCCCTACAGTGCCCTGTTTGGTCAGAGGGGACCCAGGCTCCATCTTCCTCTCCTGCCCTTTGGTGTTTCCACCAACCTCATGGGCCRACCCCCAGCTCAGCCACTGTGGGAAGGGCCCCATGGGGGTGCAAAAGGAGGCATCAGAYGGGCCTGGAACCAGGAGGTCCATCGGTGGCCACGTGCTTCTCCTTTCGGGGAGCTTCATCTGTGAAATGTTCTTGTTTCGTTGTGGAGGGTATGGGATGGTTTAGCTCTTCTGAACAGCCTGGTGCTTATAGTCCTCTCTATTTGGGGGGATTTCCACTTTTTCTGCTGTATAGGAGCCCGCTGCAGGATGGAGAGACATCCATGCCTCCTGTCACGGCATGGGTGGTTCATCAGTCCCGAACACCTGGGCCCAAATCTCTGTCGTGTTGCCACACTGCGGTTGCAGAGACATGGGGTGTGTGACACGGGAGTCCTCCAACAAGACCCTGCCCTGGGTGCCCAGAGCTTTTCAAAGCATCAGTGACCATTTAGAGGGGACATACGTTGCCACACGTCCTCGATTTAGGGGTTCCTGGAGGTATCACCTTGGTATCGCCCTGGTCCTGGGTGGCTCCTGGAGGTCTCACCCTCACACCTTGTTCTGATTGATGGTGCTGCAGAAGAGCAGACCCATGGTGTGGAGGTTGAGGCCCCTCCAGTCCCGTGTAGGCAAAGCYCCAGGCCTTGGCCACGTCAGCAGGAGGGCAGGCAGCGCATGTGCCACCCTGCGAGCAAATGTGCAGGTTCTTGGCGGGCTTGCGTGCACCAGGAGCACCATCTGCTGGTGTCTCCTTGAGGAGCTGGAGCACAGGGAGCACTCGGGCTGCTTCAGGGCCCCCCAGCTGAACATGGGGTGAAGCCACAGGTCCCTCTGCCGCTGCTGGAGGAGTTGGCTCACACCATGATGTCCTGGTGAGCTGGGACAGGACAAAGATGGATGAGACAGGTTTCWCCCCTGTCTCTCCCAAGGAGAAAAGGAGATGTCAAGGGCTGCAGGAGCCAGGACAAGTCATTGCTCTTGGGTCCTCTGGGATTCTGGGATATTAGATGGAACATCCAAGGGTATCACGTTCCCCAGAAAGATATGAAGACAGAGGGGCAGACTCCAGTCTGGAGAGGGCTGGAGAGTCAACTCAGCATCTTATGGTCAACTCAGCATCTTATGGTCAAAGCAGGGAACAGAGGGAAAGCTGCTTCTCCCACTGCCACCCCCCAGGATCCAAACTTACCTCTGGGCATGCACAGGCCTTCCTGCCCTGCAGTTCCTCCCTCAGCATGTGAGGAAAGTGAGAGGAGGAACAAGCAATTCCCTGCCATGAACATCCCTCGTTTCCAGCTTCCATTTCTTCACCTTGCCCGGTAGATGGTGCAGGAACCCAACAGAAACCAGCCASTCTGGCCCTYTCTGCAACACAACCCATGTAGCAGRGCACCCTTTGGGGTGCRTGAAAACCTGCACCGCTGCAAGTCTGACCACGCCGGTGACCAGGGGCACTCTGCTACCTGCTTTCCAAAGCCCTTGTAGATAGCTAATAAGATACCTTTCAGTATGAAGGAGCTAATAAGMTGAAGCTTCTAATGTCCCTGCTTGTCGCTAGTTAAAATTTCCATTGCATAGCAGAAACTGCCTAGAAATAGGAGGAGGGTGAGGATGGTTCAGGCTGAGTTTTGGTCCTATTTTTCTCTTKCTGAGCTGGCCGGGAACAGTGGAGAAGCTCCATTGTGGAGAGGGACCATTTTTSAAGGTGCTGCTGGTGCTTGTGATGAGCTGGGGCTGGAGTGCAGCATCCCTGGACCAYTCAACCCGTGATGCTGGGGACGTCGCGGGCTCCGTCACCAGCAGCGGGTGCGGAGCAGAGCGCTGGGGTCCTGGCGCTGGGTGGAGAGCAGCTGGTGGAGGGGAGCCCTGCAGCGTTTCCTCCCTGTCCTGGTGCTGGTCCTTGTCCCGGGAGGTGCCGGGCCGGGGAGGAGGGCTGCAGCGGCCTCGCTGGCCACCTCCTTCCCCCCGCCCCGTGCAAGCAGGCAGCCGTGACCCTCTCCCTCCATCCCCGGGGCGGAGGCAGCGCGGTCCTCCCCGTCGCACGCTGCCCACCGCGGCGGCCTCGCTGGAGCCCATCGCGCTAGGACCGGCTTAGAGAGGCGGCTGCTCCGGCAGCTTCCCGCCRCTGTGCACAGAGCGTGGCACGGATAACCCATCCCGGAGGCGTCGCACGGGAAGAGCTCGCCGCGGGCACGGAGGCGAAGCCTGCCGCCAGCGCCGCCCCGACGGGAACACCGAGGACATCCCGGCGGCGGGAAGGGTTTCGGGAGGAGAGCCCCGCAAGCGCGGCGTGACCATGGGCTGGGCGCTGCGCTGCGGCCTCTGCCTGCTGCTGTGCCTCGCTGCGGCGTGCYGGGAGGCGCAGGCTGCCCAGGTGAGCGTCGCGCCCGCCCGCACCGCGCAAGGTGGGCATGGGGACCCGCTCCTGCAAGAAGGGCCCAGCGCTGGCCACGGGGTAGCTGCAGGGAGAGCATGCGCGGGGCTAAGCGTGCTCGGATGGAGGTGCTCACGCAGGAGGCTCCATCTCCAGGTGAGGAGGAACTTCTTGACCGTGAGGGTGACAGAGCCCCGGCACAGGCTGCCCAGGGAGGTTGTGGAGGCTCCTTCTCTGGAGGTCTTCAAACCCCACCTGGATGCCACCCTGTGCCTGCTTGAGTGGGAAGGTTGGACTAGATGATCTCTAGAGGTCCCTTCCAACCTTGAATATCCTGTTATTCTATGGGATGTTATCCTGTTATTCTATATCCTGTTATTCTATGGGATGTTATTCTATAGGATGTGCAAAGCTACCTGCCGTAGAAAGACTTTCTCGAGGTTTTTGTTTTCTTCTGTTTTCCTGACTTCCATCTTTCCAAAGCAGGAATTTAGGGCAAAGCCACCCTGACTGGATCTCCCCACCTCCTTCTTGAAATTGTCTTCTCTACTTCTCAAGGTGGGGATCTATATTTCAGGCACTGTAAGACACTCCACCTGCTTCCCTAAGGAATGGCTCAGGGCTCTTCGTCTGTGGCTCGGACACTCTCCTGGGAAAGCCCAGGCAGGGCTGCAACCCCATCATCTCCCACCTCTGCTCTGCAGCCCAGCTGTGCTGCGGTTTTGAAGGCAGCCACCAGGTGTGTGGTGCCAGAAGGTGTTAATGAGGATGTTATCATGATAGAACCTGGTTCCCATAAGGCTTCTGATTGGATCCAGTCCCTACAAATGCAAGTCACACCATGGCCAAGYACACAAGAACCAGGGAAAACAGCTGGTTTCATGGGGGAAATGGTGTCTGTCATGGCTAAGCATTTCTGCAGGTGCCCAGTAAGTGTCCTGAAGAAGGACCACCATCAGATGTRGTGGGGAGCTGGGACCTTGCATTCTGTCCTCCCAGCACGTGGTAGCGTAAAGCMCTGGCCACAAGGCTATCTGCTGGCCAGGGAGGATGGATGGAGTCAGGCCTCCTGGGGGATGCTTCAGGAGTTGTCCATGTGGGGTCTTTAACAAACTGAGGGAGGGAGATGGAAATTTCCCTCCTGGGAAGAAGGCATGGCCAAGGGCAAGCGCCCGGCGGTACTGCTGCTGTGGAGGCACAGGCAGACCCAAGCAGGTAAATCTTGTCAGGATTTCTCCTTTCATTAAGYTATTTGTTTGTCAGACAGGATCAGGGGGTTCTGGTGTTAGCTTTCACAGGGGCATGCAGTTTGGAGGTTCACCTCTTCTTCTTCTCTGCAGCCCCTCAATAGCTTCCCAAGGTGCTTATCCACCCTCCATGCACTGCACTGGCAACAGGACCTGGAGGCAACAGCCTCTGCAAAGGCTTGGCCCAGGCAGGAGGGCTTGGCATGAATATTTCTCCTTAGTCCCCGGATGGAGGCACTTGGAACCCTTCTGTCTTCTTCAGTTGTCATGTCTTTGCCCTCTTGGCCCGTGGATCAAGCCAGAGCCAGCCTCTGACAACGTGGGCTTTCCTAGGCTTGCTTCCCACTGAAGAGAAAAGCTTGGTCAAGGATAGAAATGAAGCTCTGCAAATCTCTGAGGTGCAGAAATGACTTTGCTTTGCTCAGCTCTTGGTCTTCATTTTTTTTTTTTTAAGTCAGCTCTGTAGGAAACCTATAATAAAGATGCCCATCTCCTGAATGAGTCAGTCCCTTGGTAGCTATTAGTTTGCAGGCACAAGTCCCACAAGTGTTTCTGGCCCCAGAGGAACTCACAAGACATCTGTTTTCCTCTTATTTTGTAATATGGAAGTGGGACGCAGCCCTAGTTCCAGCAGGACTAAACATGAGTTATGGCATCTCTCCCAGGACTAACAAAGTGATTACAGCCCTGCTTGTAGCATTAAAGTGCTACATTATCCTCTTAAATCGGAAGCAGGCTCAGGCGATGGATTTCTCTCACAGGCAAAAAAAACTCTTGAATCTGGTCACATGAGAGAAGAGAAGAGAAGAGAAGAGAAGAGAAGAGAAGAGAAGAGAAGAGAAGAGAAGAGAAGAGAAGAGAAGAGAAGAGAAGAGAAGAGA